CCGAGGTTCGATCCCCTGCCGACGCACACCTGATATCTGCGGTCGGCCTGTAAAATTTGGGCTACCGATATCACATGCTGAAAATTCCATACTTGTACCAAAAATACAGTGTGGAATCAAGCTGTGATAAAAAATAAATAAATATGTTGAAACGGGTGCTGAAAATGCTTTGAATCAAGCGCTACTCAGATACTCACCTCCAACTCTATTAACTAGTCTCAGAAGTAAATTAGTTTCAACTCATTTACTACGGGCTCTTCATAGTTAGTCTAGGGGTAGAATTTTGAATATCTCTGTATCATCGAATAATTTTATTTGAAAAGCACCTAGTAATTTAATACTATTTGCTGATGACCTTGCGATCACAATTTATTGCTACTAATCATCTACATATTCAACTTGAATGTGATTAGGCTCAATAGATTGTACGTGAAAAGTTATGAATAAATAGTATTGTATTACTGTGCGTCTCAACAAATAAAATTATTCTCTGACGTAGGCCTTACTTAAAACCTACATCTTTTATCTATAATGCGTAACAAATGAATGTGGCTGGAAGAAAGCATTCGGCATTATTGCTATAGTGATAAAATGAAAAGTATTATTAAACACATGATTTTATCACATAACCTAATAAACCAGTAGGGTTAATTTATTTCAACAGTGGATGAGTACTATTGACGAGCCCCAGACTTGGAAGAAACAGCCATCCAGTACTCTCGCGTTTTCCAGTGATTCTCTAACCGATGTCAGCTCACGATGAAATCCTGTAACCAATCAATCAGATCCCTACAAACCTATATAAAAATCATCTGGAAGACTTATATGCTCTGAATTTTATTCTTTCTTCTACTCTTATTTTGTCCTTTACTTGATGAGATCTTAAGTTTACAGCATAAAGTCTGGTTCAGCGTGGAAAATTAAGAGGAAGATGTGGTCATTAGTATGTTTGGGATGCATTTCGTCCCTTTTATGCTTTAGATGCGCCAGGATAACAATGAATATTGTTGAGCGATATTGAATGAGGCTGTGGGTTCAAAACCAAACATGACACTAGTCCATGAATTCCCTGTCAGAGTCGATCATGTAGGCAGTCATAGGATGCTTGGCTTGTTTCCTGAGATGTTCAAAAGTAAATGCTAGCATACGCTTAAAGATATGACTTCAAATGATTTTAAATAGTATGAATACATTCATTTTTTGTTGTCTCCTAGAGCTATTTAAGTTACATTTCAGTTCTCACCTCGAGCTGACCACAGTTAGAGGACCAGTGTTACCCAGGGAGTACTCAGCAGTTGTTTCGTCCTTGTTTCGAATACTTCAGGGAACGAACCCTCAGGATATAAGGCTACCTCAAATTCTACTCAGCTACTGAGACATAATCCGTCGTTTACAACGGTCCTCTAATTCAAATCAGTTCACGATTGAAACTAAAATCAATTAAATCCCATGCTAACACTCACAGTGTTTCATACATTTGGTTCCCTTGATAAATTTTGATAGAGAAAGAAAGACCAGATTTGCAGTATAAAATGATATCATTCTATTTCACAGGTTCTCATCAGCTGCAAACTACCTGAAATTACAATGGTTATAAATAATAACATTTCATACTTCATTGTTTGAAAGGTAATAGAGAAAACATTATAAGGTGAACGCATCTGGAATATAAGTATTGTAATCTAAGTCAATCACCATCAATTTATATACTATCAAACTATGAAAGAAGAAAAAAAGGGGGGGTGAGAGAAGACAGAAAACAGAAAAATCTAATAAACAGTGTCAACATAGCAACTCAAGAAGGCCAAGGTTCATCAATTTGAAAATTTGCTTAGTGAGTTGAGCTCACTAGTGTGCATGTCTAATCAGTGTAATGAAAGTGATATGGTTACCAAGGGAGTGAGAGATTGACCACACTCTCTTTCTGTATGCATAAGTTTGGTCTGTGACGTTTGATTGCAATTGCTTCAGCAAATCGTAGTAGATTAGCTGTCCTTTGTATGTTTAATATTTTGAAGGATTTAGAAATCTCGACAAAATGACCCGTATCCACTAGGTGTCTGGTAATTGCACTTTGTAAATATCTGCTTCCATTTAGGCATAAGTTTCTTGGAATATGCTCTGAAAATCGGATAGAAGCCCTTCTTTCTGTCCTTCCAATGTACTTGCTCCCGCAGGTACACGTAAATTTACTGATTTCCATGAGATTATTCTCTGTTCCAGGCATTTTTAGTTGACTATATTTTGTTTGTATTTTTTGTTTGCTTTTATGCCCACTTATATGAAGTGTGTAAACCTGGACTGCTGCGATTTTGTTCCAAGTAGTATTGCAAACATTCAACTCAGTTCAGTCTAGTATTTGAAACTAATCTTCCCACAAAGCAAAACTTAGGCTTACGATCACCTAAACTTAAATTAATCTAGACCATATATATCTCACTATTTGTGGTAAATACTCCGTACGTGAAGAATTTGTCTTATTGCAGGTAAATTTATCTACTTATTCTCTTTTATAATAATGTTTAGAAGTTGCCAATGGCAACCAAGTCATATTACAATCCACACTGATATGCGCAGGTTGGTAATTATAGTTGGAAATTTATAAACCCAGTCAGAGTGAAAAACAGACAGCTACTCCTCAGACTGAATGTTCGTCAGAGTTATAAAATACTGATTTGTACATTCTATTTTACTGTTTACTGAGATGTGTTATTGATCATGTTAATGAGTACTTCTATTCAAATTTGTTTTTAAAAATCGACTGATTTCTGACTAAATTTATACTAGTCCTAGCGGTAATGTCGTGTGTTATATCATTACCACGTAGTTTTTTCTACTTGCCTTTCAAAAATTACTGGTGACCGATAGAGATTCCAGCATGATGACTGTCACCAAAAGTGAGAAACGTTTTTAAAAAAAAAGATTCCATGAAAATTTAAAAACATATTTTTGGTAGTAAAAAGAAATTTATAAAATTACGCAGAGGTGGAGATTGATATATCTTAATTCAGTAAGCAAATTAATAATACTGTGAGACGTTAAGGCAGTTGAAAAATCATTAGTTAAGAAATTATGTATATAACCCTAAAGACATGCAGATATGCATTAATCTGTAGTGAGAAGGAGAACAATTTGGAGTTTCATTTGACGAAATAAAAATATTAGACATTCTTATGTCTGGATAGATTTATGAAATTTAGCATTTGAAATTCATTAACCAAGAGTTTGGATGAAAACAGAGATTCTAAAAATAGAATAATAATTTTAGAAATCAGCGTTCACATATACAACGCCTAAAGTAGAAGTATTCCTAATCACTGTGTGCTTTGATTTTGTTAGCAAGAAAACCAAAGCGCTGTTGTAGTTAAGCTAAAAATTCAATGTTTTATGTGTTAAACTGTTGTATTTTTTTAAACGCCGTCATTTGAAAAGTTTGACAGTGAGTGTAAGTTATATGTGCTTCAGTGGAATTTAGCAAAGATCGATTTTTCCTCATAGTAGATAATTTCTCTGTTCCAGTAGGTATTGTCGCTTCTGCTAGGAACCTAATTCAACGCTCATATCTCCTAACGATAGAATGTTATTGTTTTAGATACCTCTGTGAATGTCTCTACACACAAGAAACTGAGAAAAAAATCCTGATATGCATTGAATAAGATGTAAATTAGCGGAATTCTTTTGTCTGTTGGATAAAGTACTGAGGTTAGAATACATCTGTGTTGATCAAGTCAGTATTCACGGTTAACTTGATACCATCAGAATGAAACTTAAACCATTAAATAGATATCTGCTTATATTATGGAAATTTCAACAGCATAACTCTATATACTGTCAGGTTTTCCAGTCTCTGAGTAGTGTTGATCGAAGTATGTTAGACACACTTGCCACTATAAGTTGGTTTCTGCATTTTTCACATTTTCTGCCAACGTTTCCACCGGTCTCCATGTCTGCTCACATACCTTCATCTCCTCTTTGCATGACCTCCTCCACGTCACCCTCACACTGGCGACCAACTCGTTGCTTCCCATTCGGGTTCCACTCGATTGATAGTCAGCGTGTGATGTCAATCACTTGTTAGTTTTCTCAGAGTATGGCCAATCCACCTCCATTTCTTCCTGCATATTTTTGGCACAGTTAGTTCCTGCTGGGTTGGTTCACTCCTAGAGATCCAACCCTGTTGCTGATCTTTTCAGGCCATTCGATCTTGAGTACTGAGCTGTTGATGAAGGCGTGTAGTTTGCTTGAGGTGCTCTTCATGACGCGCCAAGTCTCTGATCCATAAAGTAGCAATGATTTCACATTGAAGTTGGAAATCTGGATCTTATTTTTGATCCTCAGTGCTGTTGACCTACACGCAGACTTGAGAGAAATGAAAGCCTGTTTTGCTTTCCCGATAATTTTCGCTTCGATATCGTCATCATTTCTGTCCTCCTGTAGTTGAAACGATGCTTCCCAGGTAGGTAGATGGAACAGATTGCTACTTTCAGATTTCTCACATTTTTTTCTCATCACCGTCTGTTGTTGTTGCTGTGGCTATTGTCCAGGAATCTTCATCACCTCTGTTTTCTCTATGTTCACCTGAAGTCCTATCTTTTCTGGATACTCCTTCTGCCAACTTGTTGCTTTCCACTTGCATATTTTCCAGTTTGTGGGAAATCAGATATATATGACTGGCGAAGTCTAGATCCTCCAAGTTATTTGTGTGGGCCCATTTGATCCCTGTCTCCTCGTTGACTGACCTGTTGTCTGTCGCACTATCCATTCTACCGCAATCAGAAAATTCATTGAAGATAGTAGGCAGTCTTTTCTTACTCCCGTCTTCACTTCGACGTATTCCTTGAATTTGCCGTTGTGGATTACTTGGCATGCTGCATTGTCGTACAGTGATGGCCTGGGGTGTGATGTCACTTGGTGACTATTTTCAGTTTTACAAATATATTAAGTTTTTATTCAGTTTGTAAATTAATGATTTCATGATATCATTTTTTTGTTCATTACAGTCTAAGAGCATTGCACGGCTGTCCAAAAATACAATATGATTCCAAATTAGCAAGTGATGCACAAAAATGGGCTGAAAATTTAGCCAAAAAAGGCTATTTACAGCATAGTCAAGCAGATGGTTACGGTGAGAACTTAGCCTTTCAGATGTCAACTGCGGGTGCATCACTAAAAGGTAAGTAAAACCTCAGTAATTTGTTAGTGAGAAAAATCACCTCTAAAAAGTACTACAGATTTTAAGAAACAATCACTTATTTGAAAAATGGATAAGAATAAAAATACTCCTCATTATACATATTAGAAAACTATGTTCGCTTTTTAAATCAATCACTAATTATGATGACTAATAAGCATCGGTGGTTCACTTGTGGAATGCTCGCCAACTGTATAAAGGGTCCGCCTGATGCACCCTTAAACCTCGTTTGACTGGTGGTAAGCCCGGCGAAGAGGGATAGGCGAGCTTGAGAAGAACAGCTCTAGTCCTTTGAAATAAGCACCATTGCTAATGATGCTTCAAAGCTCAAGTCTGAGGCTTTATGCCCTACTCATAACACAAAAGAATAAAATAAATGATAACTAATAAGTCAACTAGTAAAGCTAATATGAAAGTTGCAATTAGATGAATTGAAGATCGAATACTAAATACGATAGTAGCCGTTCAAGTTTGTGACAGTCAATTATGCTTCTTCATGGAAGCACTGATTACATCACGATTTGGCTGCCTAAATAACTGAATTCTGGTGAAATTCAAATTTGTGATTGGAGCTCATGCGCCAAAGTCTATGAAACACAGGTGGTTACACGATTGCTTAACCTGCAACTAATTCTATCACATTTTACTGCCTGTCACAGCATTCATTATATTTGGAAAACACAAGGGATTGAGTGAAGAAATATATTCCTCTACAATTAGTTCCTCATTATCGGCTAGCTTAACACTAATATATATATATATATATATATATATATATATATATATATATATATATATATATATGTTTTCTGCATCAAAGTCTTACCAGTCAAGTGGTTATTTTAGTTAATCACTTTTAGGTATAGGATGAGGGGGGAATTAAGAGGTTAAGTGTCATCAAAACAATTAACTAATGGATGTTAGTGGCAAGATATCTAATCTTCGAAAAAGAGCTAAAACTTATTTACGAAATCCGAGAATGATTAATTCATAGGCGTTAGCAACAAGTCATTACATAATCAGGAAATAATGATGGCTAAGAAGAATAGAATCACTCAGAAGAATTACGTCAAACACAGACAAGTTAGTAGAATTAGCTAGAATTGTTAAATATAACAAGGTCAAAAGATATTTAAAAGGGGAAAGGAAAACTGGTTTTTTAAACTTAATATATATTATGTAGTTGGTCATAACAAGGAGGGGCTGTAAAAATTTCTTTTGAACACAGAGATTTGGCTTTTTCAGATGAATTCCAATTGCTTCTGCATGAATGTAAAAGTCGTAACCGTAGACTATGCGAGAGGTTGGATAATATATGATAAATAATTTTAAAAGCTTTGTCAGAGTCGACTTGGTATTCTGTACATACGAGATGAGCTAGTATTGAGCTGCGTATAACTTTATTCGGACCTTTGTCAAACCAAGATGGGAGGTGTTCATAAATTCGACGATGAGCTTGCCTGATCTTACACCCAATGTAACTAGATTGTGTGAAACTGGTATATACACACGGAAGACGCGAAACAGAGCAATCTGTCTTTATTTCTCTAACTTAGAATTGGTTGTCTACTGAATATACAGATTAGCTTAGCTGTGTTGAAAGTCTTTTTGAAAGTCCTTCTCAAATGTTGTGATCAGATCCCACTACTGACATCACTGGTGAATTAGGATCTTAGGAAGACTGATTATTGGGGAATATTTGGCACCTTCAGCTTTTTACTTACTGAGTTCATGTGTTTGTTTAGTAATTTAGTCGGGTTTCCTTTTCTACTTGGTAGATCAGGCATATTACGGAGTTAATTCTTCAGTGTCTCATTTGAACAGATATGTCGAGCTCGGTGAACCAGACATTTAACCAAATTGTGTTTGTATTGTAGCGTTACGAAGCTTAGGACGTCATTAGAAAGTCCTAAAAGGAGAGACAGTCATTTTATTCCTCTTCTTTAGTGAAGTTTATGTCAGGGTGTTTTTTATTCAGTTTATCCAGTATATCCGTAGTCTGACTTTCTTTCATTACAACTATACATGTATCATCGATATAGCGGCTGTAGAAATCAAGATTATATACTGCATCTATAAGAGGACCATTCTCTCGTTTTGATGACTAATAACCTCTTAATTTCCCCCTCCTATACCTAAAACTGATTAACTAGAATAACCATTTGATTGAAAAAATCTTGATGTAAAAAACTATAAATATTAGTGTAAAGTTAGCTAATGATGAGGAACTGATTGAAAAGAAATATATTTCTTCACTCAATCTGATGTTTTTACCAAATGTATAAACGGGGATTTGGAAATTGATTATGTTGCATATTCATCACTAATACACTTCTCAAAGAGTAGGAGAATACCACAAATGGTTACTTCTAAGCGTTGACACCTCAGCAATAAGCATACGCGACTTACAGGCTTCCAACTAAAGCGCATAACCTCTGTTACTCCGGGGAAGAATACACCAGTCATGCATTGTCATCGCTAGCTTTGCTGCCAACTACTTTGTCAGAATTCATCAAAGCCTCATCTAACTGACTTTCTGCGATGTATGATTCTCGTTTGTCTCAAAATTATTGCCAGTTGGTAGCAAATGAACTAAGATCTGAGAATCAGTCTACTAATAGTTAGGTAGTGAATATAAAGAGAACAGCCAAAAGGTTTAACTAGAGGATATAACAAGTAGATATTGTAAGTCCAATACAAGAAATCCTGCTTGTGGAAGACACAGTGTCGCAAAGATTATACGTGGCGAAATAGCAGAACTTTAAATTTCAAATCAGTAAAGATGAATTGACAATAATTATATTTTTGCTGACGATAGTAATCTGAAGCCTGAAAATATAAGTATATTTGGGCAACCATAACTAAGATCTCATTCATATCCCTAATTTACATTTCCGCCTGTTTTATGTTTATGGATGTGTTACATTTCGTCAGTGTATTCGCTTTACCAATCCTTAATAAAGATTTGTAAGTACTATAGGAACAGGTGTTGAAAACTGCTGCATGCTCATGGCATTTGACAAAAGGTGTATAGTGAGTAACAAAGGCCTGTGTACTGTAACAGAGGTAATCGGTAGATGTGGATTATAAGAGCTAATCGCCCAGATATTTCCCCTTTTTCACCGGTTTCTTCATGTCACTTTAATAATGAAGAGAATTGTTTGATGTAAAAATCTTGTTATTTTACGGTAAACTGCTTAGAAAGGATGTCGGACAATCCAATACTAGCTGATAAGCACTGATATACAGCTTACTGCTTTATTTTATAACCCACATTTTATCATTTATCGGAAGTAAATACCACGTACCAGCATCCATTTAGGGTGTGAGGTTAATGAATAAAAAAATGAACGATACAGTGAGGCAATTATTGAAGCAGTATTTAAATGTGGTCCCAAATTACTTGTACAGTTTTGTCTTCTATTCGTCCTACACATATAGTTTTTTATCCTTCTTCACTGTTTCTTTCTCATGTCCAACTCTGTTGTCTACATAGATACTAATATTAGTGTTAAACTTTTTCTCTATTTTGAAAGGTCATGAAGCCACTAGAAATTGGTACGATGAAATCAAGAAGCACGATTTTAGTGGACAAAATCAACCAGGGACAGGTGAGCAGTTACCACTAGTTGTTTTAAAATATTTTAGTAAACCTGACTTCAGAATTCTACAAGATTTCAAGCCAACCTGTTTTTATAACATTGATCAAGTCTGGTCCAAATGGCTCAATGGTCTACGAGCTCGACTCATAACCTGAAGGGCCTAGGTTCGTAATCCAGTGATTGCGTACTGCCGATGACTCCTAGACTAGGGCGAAACAGCTATTCAGTATTCTCAGATTTTCCAATGGTTCTCTAACCGATTTCAACCCCTGATGAAAAAGGAATGTATTTTACACTAATTTTGAATATTAATTTGTTTATTCGGGCATATCATGTAGAAACACAGCATTATTTATTGGATGATTTTTGAATAGAGTTTATTGTTCGTAATTATGTCAGCTAATAGTTTATTGAAGAATACATAGTGTTCAAAACTTCATCTGGCAAATAATGCTATTTTACTGTACGATATGTCCAGTCAGTGAATTATTCTGCAATTATAAACAACCACAATGCCTAAGTTTTGCAAATATGTCAACAATACCCCAGCCTTCTTAAATCACTGGACAACCTTAATTATGGCATTCATCAAAATGCATCATGTTTACCCTGTTTCACATTGAGACCTGATTGCCAAAGTGAGTCATAATTCATATCCGCCCACTACTTGAAATAAGTCTCTCCATATATCTGGGAATTTTTCGAAGGCAATGGAGGAAGAATATTTTGAAGTAGTACTGGAGCATGCTTCGGGTGGAAAATTGTTGTTTCGTATATTGTTTGCAGATTCTGCACAAGTAGTGAATACCTCACAGTGAAATTCTCTGAATTCTGAATTGTGTATAAACGCATTTTTCAGAGTAAAGCTATTATTATTATATAATAGAATAACCTTTGCCAAAGTATGTTAAGGGCGATAACAGACTATTTTTGTATACACAAGAGGGAGCGGTATTTTACGGATAGCTATCGCCTCAGATTATTTTGATGACAGCTTTGATAGATCACCATGAAAGCTGTTATTTAGAGGATTGTGTTTAGCAGTGGAGAGTCGTCAGCTGAAAGCAAATGCACTCCTAGTGAGTGATGGTGTTCCCACGGTGGTGGTCCTCGCAAACCGAGTGACCCAGTGTAAAACAACTTGACGTTTGAAGCGGTAGATTCTGGGTTCGAGTCTCAGTTGGAACACTGTTACTCACTGGGAATGTAGGCACATTCAGCTGACGATTCCCAAACGAAACGAAGTGCGTACTCTAGATCCCAATGCTAGACAACACGCGTCAAAGTTACCCTTGTATATCATGAAAACGTTCGCACTGGAGATTGACATGTCAACATAGACTGATTGTGTTGGTCTAATACAACTAAAATTGGTATACTATATGAGTTGCGACAAAACCACTCATTCTGTGTTGGGTCTTATAGTAGAGAATGTTTTGGCCCTTTTGACAGTTACTCTGGTAACTTCCTGTTCCCACCACTTACATGATGTCCATTCATCTCTCTTATTACTTATATCTGATTATCCAAACTAATCTTGATTATTATGCAGTCGCTACTATCAAATAATATTTTACATGATTTCTGTTTTCTTCATGACTCAATAGAATTTTTCGAAATTCGGTTATATCGTGAACAGTCTTCACCACTTAGAGATATCTTTTTGATTCAGATTGCTTCTGTGGTCGAGATGGAGTTTTAACATTTAGTTTCCTATTATCCTGACTAACTGCTTTATTCAGTATTCTGAGAGCGTCTATCAAAAAAAAAAATTCCACATAAATGCGATTTTTCTATTAACCAAGTGAACTGACCTCGAGAAAGCTCCTTGCTGAGCTACACGTTCTTATCTTTCTTGTTAGAATTTTAACTGACCCACAATAATTTGCAGTGAATGTTGGCATAGTTACTGGAAAGAAACAGGATTTCTTAAACAAAATATCAGTACCGTGAAAATATTCATTCAGACATCTATAAAACATAAAATAATTGAGCAGAGAATATCCTTTTCGATAGTTCCCTCTTCTGGCTCTACAATTATATGTACATATAAATATATAAATAGAATATTCTAGAATAGTAGACAATATTAATATTGGTGTTTTTATAAATAATATCGATTTTTTTAAGTACGACCAATGGAATTACAGTTCATTAAAGATGCATAAAATTGTATTAATAATAAAAATATAATAACAAATAGAAAATCAACTACAATTAAGGGAATCTGTACAAAAAATTGAGGACCATTCAAACATAGATGGCCAAGGTAGGGACGATGTTTGAACTAGCTTCTTTTGGACACATAAATTAGGCTTATTGATGTGGATCCCAACGGCCTCAGCAATATTTAGTAAATGAACTCTTAAAGCGAAAGCTCGGTTAATATCAATCTTGTGTTCTGTATCCATAAAATGAAATAGTATAGCGTAACGAATAGATTTTGTTTGTCCTTTGCTTAACCACATACGGCGATATTCAGAAATCCGACGAGATACACGCCTAATTGTACGTCCTATGTAACTGGCTCCACAGGAGCAATTAAAACTATCAGTGTAGATTTAAATTATGATCCGAATATTTTGTTTTTTATTGACTTTAAAATGAGATCAAAATCATTTGAGCTTTTTGAAATATGATACATGAGATATATGATTTTTGCTCAGCTTTTTGCAGTGAACTTTAACTGAGGACACGATTCATTTTGTTGTGATTTATTTGTGATTCTTGATTGGTAATATTTTGCATTTCGTTTATCTTAAATCCGGTTACTCATTTATTTTTGAAGAGTTGGTTTGCAAGGATTAGATTTATTTGTATGAGTATCACCACGGATTGATAGCGGTTAGAGAACCATTGAAAACCAGGGAGTGCTGGACAGTTGTGTCATCCTAGTTTGGGAATCATCGGTAGTACGCATTCACTGGGGTTTGAGCCCAGGACCTTCCGGTCGCAAGGCGAGCTCGTATACCATTCACCCAATGGGACCCGATTCAGTGGCCATCTAATGAATTCTAATCTACATCAATTCGTGATTTAGCGCAACCACCAACCAAAGTCATCGGTGGGAAATCCATCTTCATACTTGACTGGCTGAACCTCCTCACTAGTCACGATATCTCACTAGAAGTCCAGGAAACTCCATCATGTAGTACGTCAATCCGTGGTGAAACTCGTAAATACAAATCTAATCCTTACAAACCAAATTTCGAAAATTACTCTGATGCTCGCTAGTGAGTTTCTACAGGACGGAGATTCCTGGAGTTCTAGTGAGATATCCTGACTAGTGAGGTCCAACCATTGAAGTGTGAGGATGGATGTCCCATCGATGACGGTGGTTGGTGGTCACGCTAAATCCTGAATTGGTAGAAGTTAGAATTCATGAGCTGGCCAGTAAATCGGGTCCCATTGGGTGAATGGTATACGAGCTTTATTTTGTGTGCGTCGGTGGCACAGTGGTTAGGACTCTCGCCGACCATGCACATGGTCCGGGGTTCGAGCCCACGCCGACGCACACTTGATATCTATGGTCGGCCTGCGAATTTCGGGCTACCCATATCCACGCTGAAAATTCCATACTTGTACCAAAAATACAGTGTGGAATCAAGCTGTAATGAAAAATAAAAATAAATAAAATAAATAAGCATGCCTAGTGACCAGAAGGTTCTAGGTTCGACAGCCACAGCGTGGATGCATACTGCCGAATATTAATTTTTCGTCAAAAAGAAAGTCGTAAACTTATTTGGCAGTTTGAATTCCTTAAGGTATTCTGTAATCCTTCGTATTTTTATGTGTATCTAGACAATTCAATTCTTCAGTGTATTGTATTAAGGTGTTAAACTTTCCAAGTTAACTCGTTTACTAAGGAAACACTTATGCATAGCTGTTGCTTGACCTCATATTACAAACACTTTTAGTAAGTTATATAAGTTAACCAGTGAAAAAGCGTAGTTGAAATAAATGTTTGCCAATGATGTACACATTCATCAACCTGAAACCAATATCAAAATCTTCTGCAGAAACTAACCATTAACAGCAAGATTTGCGTTTTCAACAATTGTATCAAGTCGATCCTTGTATACGGGTCAGAAACTTGGCTCACGTGTCAAGAGAAAGAATTCCAACAGGTTGCAGACTTTCATCAACAGCTGCCTTCCCTTGCTCCATACTGAAGATCAAAATAACCAGCCAGAAAGAATTACTAACAAGGAACTCTGGAAACAAACCAACCAAGAGCCCATTGCTCAAAAACTACGCAGGAGAAAATGGAGATGGATAAGACATATTTTGAGGAAGCCACTAAATTATGTCGCGCGCGAGGCCCTCGAGTGGAATCTCAATGGGAAGTGACGAGTGGGTCGTCCTAGAGTGACATGGAGGAGACCGTGTGAGGAAGAGATGAGAGATTATGGGCAATCATGGACCCAGCTGAAGAGGATGCCAGAAAACAGAAGAAAGTGGAGATCTGTTGTTGAAGCCAAGTGTTCCGCTAGGAACCCAAAGGAACAATAATAATAATAATTTATTACCTAAAGCACATATTCACTTTATTACTTCATAGTTGCTACAATTCACATGAGTGACAAAAAATGAAATGTGCGAACCATGCATAGTTTCAAAGTTCATAAATTCAATCAAGTAAAGAGTATAGTGATGAGAAACACAAAATGGTTACAAATTATCAAAAAATTGATTTATATGCATATACATATATATTTCATCGCAAACTAACATATTTGAAACAGCCACCAAAAACTAAAAGCTTGAAAGAGAACTATTTCACCCATATTTTGAAGTCTTTTGCTCAATCCAGCAATGTGATCGTCTCGAAGTGTGTAACTCTTAGGTTCTAAGATGAACAAGCTGCTAATTAACTAAACATGTTACAACCTAATAACTTCCGCTTTCAGCCTTAGCTTATTGAAGATACTGTACGCAGATCATATATTATAATTAATGCCACAGGAAATCTTAAGTGAAATATCATGAAGTGTCCACCGATCAGCGTGAAGACTTAGTCAAGAGCTGTAGTCATTCACTTCAATGGTGATTACTATGTGATCTGTAGTTTGCAGCGATTATATAGCTGATGTCAATTCGTAATAGTATCCACCTCACTGTAAATACCTATAAATCAAAGAATTCTCGGCAGTAAGCGTAAATTTATCCACATTTATATAAGATAAAAATACTCAACACCATAGGCATACTAGAAGACAGTCTCTGCATGCACCTAGTCTCTACCACAGAGCTCACATATCAGAATAATCCTCATATTAGAAAATGAACTCTTAAGTTCTTTCTACTCTTATCTGCTTATCAATATATAACTCTTTTTGTTTCAACATAAATGTAGGACATTTTACTCAGGTCATTTGGAAATCAACTAAACGGGCAGGATTTGGAGCGGCGAAATCATCAGATGGAATGAAAATATATGTAGTTGGTCGTTATAAACCTGCTGGAAATGTAATCGGTCGTTACGCTGAGAATGTACCAAGACCTAAGAAAGCTGCACCTCCAGGTAGTGTCATTACTAATCATGAGAATGTTTTTATCCATCATATGTACTTTTCATTTCTTTGTTTCCACTGAAAGTTTAGTATTGTGTATTTTATAGCCTTGTTGAGAGGGGGTTCGTATCAGTAACTCTGGGTATATCAACCTGAGGTTGTAACGAGAAGTTTACCTATATAAAATAGTAATGTATCAGCTGAATAATGAAAACACTGAGAATATAATCTCATAATCTTACAGAAGTTCAACCGTGAGTCTGGGTAGCTTAGTCGTAGAGTCTCTGAATATGCACGATACCAAGGCACAGAGCTTCCTGCAGACTGCTTAAAATCTACAAAATATCAGTAATAAATGTATGTGCAACAGCTTTACAGTGAGACTATTTCTGCGGAAGACTGGAGCCTACTTTATTCAGTTGCATGCCATTCACTGATCACAGGGTCCTTCCATGAAGCATACTTTCATCTTGCATGTCATAACCAGAGAGTTTTTCTACGGTGAAGAAACATTGGTTTCAATATTTGGTTACTGATGGCAAATATACAGATTGCAAGAGAATATTTGGCGAAATACGTTTGCATTTTCCAATCAAACAGCATTTACTGTCACTTAGGAAGACTCCAAAGAAGAAACAATAAATTTTCGTTATTCACTCCAAAGTAAATTACTTGAGTTAGAAACTGATATTAGGACTCAAATTTTATCGCCGTTCAGTAGGTCCTTCAGAATGCAGAATATACTAATATCTTAAGAGACAGTGAGATAAATTTACAGACAACTAGTTGTAGCGACCAAAACCGAATCGTTGTGATATAAATGCAGAGAATTGATCCTTGCATTTAACTGTAAAGCTGTCCAAAACTTCCCTAAGAAACACCATATCACAAATGCTGCAGAAGTATCGAAAATACGGCTGTTTGTGACTGGAATCTCTGTGTTATTGTATTCTGCAATAATCACATGAAAAATTTAAAACTACGTCAACCGTGCCATCAAGTAGCTATACACGCAATATGTGTATCTAAACACAAAACAAATACTGTAGAACAGAATTTGTTAACCAGAATACAAACTATAAGAAGTACCTTACTATCAAATAGAATCTAACTCTGTCCACAAGTGTTACACGTCGGACAGTTCAAGATTAGAATCACCTCGATTCACTCAAAAATAAATCACACCGTGTAACAACACATCATCAGTGTATCCCACTTCCCCAAAGAGAAGCAATACAATTAGAGATTAAACAGGGACAAAAGGACAAAAAATACTGATCAAATCAACATGTGATGTGCAAATGTTAATATAACGATATAGAGTCTTGGAGAAAAATGGATAATCATTAAAAAATTGAGTTGAAATATCTGTATAAGTATAAACGGTGTGATTAGACTATTCAGAAGGGATTTTCCAGCCAATTTTCCCATTATGCCGTCCAATGGGAACAAACAGGCCGGTTACTTTCAATTCCTGCAAAAAGATAGAAACAGACAGGCTCAATAAAGACTGACACGTATTTATGTGAGACATACTGTTCATCAGACAAACGTTTCCACTACTCTTGTCGGCCAATTTAAACAGAACTATATTCTGTAGTAAACGGATATCAAGTGACCACCTCTCTGAAAACACAGAATGCCAAACAAATATTTCTACCTGGCTTTAGGCTCATTAGAAACCTTACAGCAAGGACACCACTGGTAATCAACTAATGGAATTAAACCACCTGATATTTTCACACAGTAGTTATCTAACAGCTGCCCAACAAGTTTTAGTTCTTCGTGATTTTGCTTGTTGGTATAAGTTACCAAAAGCAATTTATTCAGCTAACAAGGTTTATAATACAGACCGCTACTGACCAGTGTTAGTAACCACGGGCTGGACGTCGTTAAAACAAATGTTTTATCACAAGCTTGCTGGGCTATCAGCTGCACATTCAACCAGAAAGTTAATAATCATGAATTTTTTTTAGAAGTATTTTTGAGTAGTAGTTGTTGACGGAGATGAAACAGAAATTTAGAGCTTTTCAATCACTAACACTTCCTGTAGTTGATATCGAAGTTGTGATGAAATAGTTCAATGTTATGTTCATCTGTGTTTAAATTATGTCTTATGGCTCTTTTTTGAATCCTCCTTTGTAGTCGATGAATATAACAAGAAATATACAAGTGAAAGCAGATGTTCAATATTATGAAAATGGGTTCATTACTCGAAAACAAAAGAAAAACAAAACAAAAAAAAGAAAACATCATTATTGCTGAATAAAGACAGTAATCTTCCTGTATTTTTTAATATCAAATAATTCACTATTTATTCTGCAAACACTGTCTAACATTATTCACAGTACTGGGTGCTTGCTTGACAATCACAGAGAGAGAGAGAGAGAAAATTCAAAGTGCTTTATATTATTTTGTAATAATAATACTCCAGTCATAATTTTGCTTATTTAACTAATTAAAACAAAGATTAAAAAACGTTTTTAATATACAAGGTTCAATGTCCAAGAATATTTATTGTCTTTTGAATAAGTCGACAAATACAAATAAAATATACCATACAGTTATAGTTATATGGTATATATATTGACTAATGGTGTAGATTTATCTAGTTGACTTTTGTGTTTTAGAATACAAGAAGGTACAGTTTGTATATACACATACAATAAATAGGTTGTTGGGAATTTACAGTTTGATTTAATGAAAACGTGTTACTTATAAGCAATAGAATATACGTATATATTAAAAGTCAATCTGAATGAAGAATATTCTTTTCAATAATTTCTCTTCAGGTTCTTAAAATTATAAAATATAATATTTGTGGTCGTTACAATAAAGATAGCCAGGTATGCGGCGGATATATTTTTAACGTGGAATAACAGATTAGCAGTCATGGGGTGTCAAAATAAATAGTCATATTTGTGTGACAAACGTGCTCTGGGCTGAAATCGATTACCAAAATATTGTAAAACAGGAGACAATGATGGTGATTAATCATAATAGAATTGTAGAGTGTGGGGTAGGAAAATTAACAAATCAGTTCAAGGTTATAAAAGGTGTCAGGTGGATGGCTAATTTATGCCCTTTATGCAAACATTCCCCCAATACTATCGAATTTTTCATTTTTACGGACTTATTATTATTAGTGATATCATCTGTTTTCTCAATACATGCCTCCACCTGTTTCATTTAACGTATTCGTTATCTCATTATGAACCTCTCATTGCAGTCTTACTATCTCCTGTTTAACTCAGACCACTTTGTGCTAGCCACTCACCCGACACCTTTTATAACCTTGAACTGATTTGTTAATTTTCCTACCCCACACTCTACAATTCTATTATGATTAATCACCATCATTGTCTCCTGTTTTACAATATTTTGGTAATCGATTTCAGCCCAGAGCACGTTTGTCATACAAATATGACTATTTATTTTGACACCCCATGACTGCTAATCTGTTATTCCACGTTAAAAATATATCCGCCGCATACCTGGCTATCTTTATTGTAACGACCACAAATATTATATTTTATAATTGTAAGAACCTGAAGAGAAATTATTGAAAAGAACAATACGTGTTCGATAATTGCAGATTAGCTGTGCACAAAAATTGTTGCTCTAATAACCCGGGTTAGAGTAAAATGCTAAAGGCTTGTTTACCTAGAGCTCAGGTTCCATTTAGTAAAGTGATGGTGGACTGTATACCCATCAGAAGTGGATCGAAATGTATTTTGAATGTCTCTTTTAATTTTTTTTTAATAATAACAGCTTTATTCCAAACGGTATTTGTGGTACAGGTATGGAATTTTCAGCGTGCATTACAGTATATTGCATCTAATTACTTCTTAAATTATATAAGATTTTTAAAATAAAAAATAAAAAAACCAACACCAAAAAATAAAGAATAAATAAAAAAATAAAAACAAGAGCATAGCGTTTACATTTCAAACAATGCACCACAGGATATGAAATACAAAATTAGTGTGTAATAGAAGATGTGAACAACAGTGTATTAGAGATGAGGAAAGGAAAACATAAACTAATGGGACTATTTGTTAGAGTGCCACAGTAAGTTTATCGTGTCATACCTAACGATTTCTCATCACATAACAGCTGTGCCAGATATGGTATTGTAAAGTTTTTGTATTTGGTAGTCCTAGCATATAGCCGCCTATAGCTGCTTCTAGTTCTACCAGATGAAATGCATTTAACATGAAGACACATATGGAATACTGCTCAATAGAAACTCTGATGAATAAATCATATTAGTACGCACACAGTGCAGTTGGGCGAATTCCACAATGATTCAAATAACATGTCAGACATAACTGAAAAACCGGTTTGGAAGTAATTTATAAATTTATAAACTCTAAAAATTCAGTTGGTCAAAAGTGAAACAGCTTCTACGTTTGTAGAAACCCCAAAAAGTGAAGGTATTAGATTATTAAGTTAATTTGTATTTTCTGATGTTAGATTACTTTGCACCGAAAAGTTCAGTGTCTTTTGACATAGTGCCTTCTAGCACGAACGTTTCGACCATGCTTGGAGACTAAGATCAATTCCACTGCTAGTCATCACCAACTGAATTACGTAGAGGTGTGACGTCTTATTCTCAAAGCTGTTCTGCTTTTTATCATAAATCAGTAACATTGGTTTTTGAAATGTAAAATGCTCACTTGCATAGTTTTCATTCACTACTTTGTTAGATTTGTCATTCTCAAATGAATAAATGCAATTGCAGGCAAGAAAACATCTGGAAAATTTGATACACTTTCCAAGATTATTTTTTACATATCAGAGCCATCTAGCAACCCGTCACCCAACAAATATGCCCAAGGTAAGGCAGATGCAGCGGATAAACTGAAGGAACCTTTGCTGGACACTGTGCTCCATACCCTCGAGTGGAATCCAAATAGGAGACGATGAGTTGGGCCTGTGTTCGAGGATGAAATCGATGTGATCGTGTGAGGAGACGATAAGGGCGTAAGGACACTACCAGAGAATAAGATAAAATGGGGCTATAACGTTTAAGCAGGATATTTCATTCGGAACCCAAGAGAAAAAGAATAGTATTAATGAGTGGTTACATCCTGAGTAACAGGTGCTAAGATTATTCTTTAAACCATTATTATAAGTATAGTTTTCTTTACACTGACCCTGATATATGTTACTATTAAAGTGTGCAAAAATAAGCTTAGGTAATGATAAATGCCAGTTAAGTTTGTCGCATACCGGGAGATCCTCGTTAGCTGCTACTGTGTTCATGTTGTTTATATTTTTCAAACTTCATTATTTTTGAAATAACATGCTATAGAATAACATATCCGAACAATCTGGGATGAAATAATGGTGAACACCTGTATGCTTTTGATGCGGTTGTATCTTCTGAGTCGGACGGTTTAACTGCGAAGCTTTCTTGGTCAAACTTGAAAAAAATTTCAGCGCTAAGCTAAAAAGAGTTCAAAAGGCTCCCTCTTTACTGATGTGAATTCTGCAAATGTTGATAACAAAAAGAATGAAAGCTTTGCAATCTTGTCAGTTGGCTGTGAGGTCACATTTTATAAGGTATCAAAGGAGTAATTTAGTAAATGATGTACATCCCAAAATGTTCTGAAATTCTTCTCAGTTTTAATTATTCATTGAATATTTAGTCAATTGCTTTGAAGGCTTATAACGCACTGATAATTATAAATCGGCACTTACAAATATTAAGTGTATTAAAGAAATTCTGTTCATGACTATTATTATACATTATTATTGTGTCCTTTAGCTCCTAGAGGAACACAGGGCTTCAGCTGAGCGTCTCCATTGTGTTCGGCTATCTGCCAACGTTTTAACCTGACTCCACGTCTGCTCACATGCTTTCATCTCCTCTTCACATGACCTCCTCCATGTGACCCTCGCACTGACGACCAACTTGCCACCTCCCATTCGGGTACTACTCAAGTGGTGGCCTGGTGTATGATTTCACTTGATGATTTGTTTTCTTAGAATATGTCCAATCCATCTCTATTTCATCCTGCTTATTTGTTGCACAGTCGGTTCCTGCTGGGTTGGTTCGCTCACTGCCAGAGATCCCTCGCTGATCTGTTCTGGCCAGCCATCTGATCTTGAGTGGTATTGAGTGAAGACAGCTGTTGATGAAAGTCTGCGGTTTGTTCAGAATACCCTTCTTGACGCGCTAATTCACTGATCCGTATAGAGCAGTATTGACTTGACACTAGAGTTAACAATTCCGATTTTGTTTTTCATGCTGAGTGCTGTTGATCTCCACACAAACTTGAGAGGAATGAAATCTTGTCTTCCTTCCCCGATGATCCTCGCTTTGATGCTGTCCTCATCACTTCTACCTTTAGTTGAAACGATGCTGTTCACGATAATCCTAATTTATTTAACATAATATAAGCTGCGAGTAATTATAGTAATAAAAATTCATTTGATTGAACTCACAGTGTGATTTTCCTCTAGTTAATCACATGATAACTTTTTCAGTGATATCAAAAAGTGTATTATAAAATAAGTTACCTAGTCAAAGATGACATCATTGCATTATTGGTAGTAGAATCACACTATTTAAATTTACTTCAATCAGTGAGAGATTGGAACGAATATGCATTTTCCCGTGAAACACGTAATACAAAGGAAGGCTTCTTTCAAGATGAATGAGGTAATTCACGTTTCTTCCAACCAAGTTAATGTTCATTGATTTATTCTGTAATGTGACTACTGAATTATCAGACTGTTAAAGTGCAAATGCTTATTAGATTTCAGTGTGTTGAAATGATATTAGTACATTGAAAACCTGAAGTGTACAGATGAGTCATTGTAAAAAAAAGTACACTGATTAAAATCGATTGATCATTTCATATGTTCTGCAGTTGTATAGATTGTATGTTATGATCTAAATATGATCAACAGTAAACAAGGGAACAAGAGTTTCTCAGGTTGACAAAAAAGTGAAAACTAGTCAGGCTTTCAAAATAATCAGTACACAAAGAAAACCGTCGTTACTTCTGTCTGCAAAAATCATCGCTATCAAAAGACTTCAACCTAATCTATGCATAGAGAATTAGAGTGTGACTAATCTCTCACTACCCTGATAACCATAATTGTTATGTTCGTGTGCTTTTGTATTTTTTTCCATCGCTTAACATTCTTCTCAATCTTAATTTTGATTTTCACTCACTGAGTTGAACTCACTATTAAGGTCACAAATCTACTATATTAAATTATTTTATCCATTTTATGATTTTAGTTCACTATTCACCTCCACCCTCTTGAACACTCCAACATAATATGTATAAATTTACTGTGTTGTTCTACCTTGTATTTGGTCTCCACCCCTTTGTCTAATTTTTATATAAATAGTTCCTCTTTTAACACAAAATAATTGTCTAATTACGTCACCTTTGTAACTATGTTGCTCATAGTTTCTATCTGTAACTTGAAATAATTGTAGAAAGTAGGTTCAGAAAATGTTTTTAACATATAATTGATTTCTTTGTGATGTACGCAGTCGAAGAGAATCCACAAAATAAAATGGGCCCGTGTTATTCTGTATATATGTCCGTTCT